CCTCCCCGTCGGACCCCGGATTCCGGGGGAAACGGAGGAAGCGGGGGCTGCTCGGCGGCGCTCGCTCCGGGCAGAGGGGTCGCTGGAGCGGCCGCACGGGGCGTGGAGACGCCGGCGAGGGGGACGGAGCAGACCCGGGGAGCTGGCCTTCGGGGGACGGGACCCCTCACCTGCCCCGCCCCGGAAAACGCGCCCCTAGAAAGTCTTGAGGGGCTGAGGCCAACGTCCCTGGGCTCTGCTGGGGAAATTCTGGCTTCAACTTGTGGGTCCCGGTTAACCGGGGGCCGCCGTCCCTGACCCGCGAACACGGGGCTCGGGGCCGCCGTCCCTGACCTGCGAACATTGGGCGCGGGGCCGCCGTCCCTGACCCGCGAACACTGGGCTCGGCCGAGAGCGAGCCGACCTGACCAGTCGGATGTGGGGCATCAGACATGCACCGCCGCCAGGGGTGCCAAGCCCCTCTGCGGGCGTGGAGGGCGCTGCGGAGGAACGGAGAAGCGTGGTCGGTTGTATACGCAGAGGCCGCTGGAGTTAGGCACACACGTTATTGGCTCTGAGAATTTCCGGTCTTCTGTGAAATGATTCAGTGGTCGTCAGAGTGACCCGCGCACCCCCGCCCCGGGGTCCGGTGGTTCCGTCCTTTGCTCTTTTCCCGCCCATTCGTCACTCCAGGGTTTTTTTTTTTGGTGATGGCAATTCTAAACTTGGGGTCTATCTGATTTGAAAGTGGTTGCTGAAAACGCTGCAAGGGATCCTGAAGGCAGTTAGACCACATCTCTGGTTTTAGGACTGATTAAACGGAGAAAATACCAATGCTACTGAGATCGTTTCCTTTTCTCCCCGTACTGATGATGAACGCCCTCGATTCCACAGGGAAACGCTTGTCAATGCAGCGTATCTGAAGTATACACACAATTACAATGCACGGTGGGCACAATTTTACTGCACGTTAGTGAATGTGAGTGTACACACCTCATAGCAACCATATCGAATGAAATTACTTCATATGTGTAGAAGAAAAAAAAAGTACTGATTTACACGAATTCCAAGAAATTAAGCTCATACATCTTTGCGATTATCTTTCTGTGACTGATTTAAACATCAAGCTGATCTCTCCTGAAATAGCTACTACATTACACACACACACACCTAATCTCTTTTCACTTCTATTAAAAATGCATAGAAAATATGTTGTTTCTATGGGATTTAAAATAATTGAAATGAGAAAATTTCTGTCCCAGTGAATCACTTTATTTCGGTGCAGCACTTCACACTCTTTTTGGATACTCTGGAATCCTCAACTTTTCCCATGGATATCGACCTTATTTTCCCTATCAGAAGAGATTAAAAACGAGAATTGAAAGTCTTTACCAGGACTGAAATACCCTCACAAAGATGAGCCAATCAGGAATGAAAAGTAAGGGGTCAAATTTCCTGCACCAAAAAAAAGTGGAAAAAGTGTAAATTGTGCTTCTTTTGATACTAGAAGCTACAATGTGCTGTACTGCTCGGTTTCAAGCAGTCTCACAGAGTCTTGAGGTTGGAAATGGAATAGCATTGTACACAATTTTCACATCTTTTTCCTTTTGGAAGAATATTTAGGTGTAACATATTTGAAGGAAGCTACTTCTAAAATGTTATTTAATTGTTCACATTTATAATAAATATTTGTGTAATATTTCCAACTTTTTTTTTTTTTTTTGCCATGTTAATGATACTGCTATTCTTCCAAGGGTAGCATTCTTATCTTAAAAAAAAAAAAAAAAAAACGTTTAGGCAGGAAGAAACATCTCTAATGCTACACAATGATAGGATATATCTTTGCGTAGTCTCTAATTAGACAGGCATAAGCATGCATGCACACATGTAAGCTCTTCGGTGAGTAGCCAATTTCTAGATACCAGGTTTTGATGAGAGTGGAAGGATAAGTTTTATTTTTAGGAATAGAGAGCCTTTGATTTTTTTCCCCCTTCTTCAGGACTGTACATCAACAGGAAAACACTTTGACAGTTATAGACAATTAACAAGAAACTTTACTAGAGACTTACTCTTTAGAGAGAAATACAGAAGATTTAACACACCAATTTTATTTCAGATATTCAATAATTAACAAGAAATTGTGGCTTTTCCAATTAAAAAATGGGCAAAGGACCTGAATAGACATTTCTCAAATGAAGACATACAAATGGCCAACAGGCACATGAAAAAGATGCTTAAAGTCACTAATCATCAGGGAAATGCAAATTAAAACCAGGATAAGATGTCATCTTACCCCAGTTGGAACGGCTGTTGTCAACAAGTCAGAAGATAACAAATGCTGGCAAGAATGTGGAGAAAAGGGACCCCACCTGCATTGTTGGTGAGAATGTAAATTGGTACAGCCACTGAGGATAACAGTATGGAGGTTCCTCAGAGAACTAAAAAATTGATCTACCTTATAATCCAGCTATCCCACTACTGGAACACCATACTTAAAGGAAATGATGAATATATCAAGAAGAAACCTGCACTCCCAGGTTCATTGCAGCACTATTCACAATAGCTAAGAGATGAAATCAACCTAAATGCCCATCATAGGGTGAACGGATTAGAAAACTGTGGTATTATAGACACAATGGAATACTATTCAGCTATAAAATGAAATGCTATTTTATCATTTGCAGCAACATGGATGGAACTGGAAACCATCATGTTAAGTGAAGTAAGTCAGGCACAGAAAAACAAATACCGCATGATATCACTCATATGTGGACTCAAAAAAAAAAAGTGGTTCTCATAGAAGTAGGGGGTACAATACTGGTTACCAGATGAGGTGGGGGTGGGGGTGGGGGAGTGGAAGTGGTGGACTAATGGGTACAGAACTATGCTATCCACCCTAAGTGAATCATTGTGCAATATATACATGTATTAAAACAACACACTATACTCCACAAAAATAAATATAAATAAAACTTAAAAAAGAAGAAGTTGTGGGTTTTATGTGTAACTGTGATAAAACTGGTCTGGCCATTTGTGAAAAAGATAGTCAGGCACAGTGAAGGAGAGAGAGGGTAACACTGAGAGAAGGGGGACAGCCAGGCAGGAAGGAGGCTGAGGGGGGCATCTGGGAAGGTGAGAAAAGTCTCCCTCACCTGGTGCACCCAGTCCCTAAGACCCATAACTCCATCCTTACCAGCCTCTGCCTGGATGCTCCATCTACTCAGCAGCTTATCAAAGTCACCTCTAAGAATTTAAAAATCCATATTATCAGATCCTGCTCCCATGAAGGAAACTTAATCTTTCTTCCCTCCAGTCCAGTCCCCCAGATTCGTCAGTCCTCAGACCTCTAATCTATCTTGCCTTTATGGTTAATACTCCAAATCATCCTCCTATTTCCACATCTGGATTCAAATTTTCACTTACACTCTTGCATAGTATGAATGAAAAATAGCGTGCCAACAAAGCATCGGGAGCCACAGACTCACCTTGTCTCTAGGAGCAAGGACCTCCATTAATGCTGCTTATACCAACCTCATCTCACCTTTTCAGCCAAACCATCTCCTTTATTAGGTCTCTTGCTTGATATTGACTCCTTCCTTCTGGAAGTGTTCTTAAAGGGAAACATCGCTGTGAGAATATATCTCTGAAGTGTAAGGTCAATTTTATTACTCTCAGATATATGAGAAATCGATCGTGTTGATTTTGCTAATAGGGTATGATACTTGACAACTACTGCCTTTTACATCTTACAAAGATTGGAAGGAACGAAGCTGAGGTCTGGATCTATTCTTACTTACGCATGACTCTCCTATCTCTTCTAGAGCAGTCTGCAAAAATACTGATAAGACTCTCTTTCATTATTTTCTTAAACTAACTTATAACATTTTTGAGAAAAACAAAAATCCCAGCAATTCATGACATCAGTGCTTCCCGTGTAAATTTGAATGTTTATAATGGTGATCAAGATATTCTCTGTGGTAGAATAATAGCATGCTCAAACCACACGATCTTGCTTTAGGGAATGTGGGAATGAAGTAATGCTTAGATATGCTTTGGCTCTCAGAGATTTATGTTTGCAATTCATCTGAATGAAATTGAATAGAATGGGAGATCATTTCGAAGGCCTAAGGATGTTTCAATGTATAGTTGATTGGGTCAAAACATTGGGAAAATTGTAAAGTGGGGCAAACTGTCTCTGGCAAACCACCTTTCTGGTGCTCTAGGATTTCTATGATAGTATTAATGGATTCTACCACTAGATGGCAGGGGCACCCCAAGCAGAGCAGCTCTCCTGACCTTTTTTCCCATAGATTTTGATAGCATCACCGTTAACTTAACCAAGGCAATTATAAATTATGAATTATAACTTCATGACCAATTATATATAATTATAACCAATTACACTTATAATTATACAGCTTTTATATTATAATTTAGTGCCTAATGATTAATTAATTAAAATATCAACTATATTTAGAAAATTTAAGACTTAAGGGCACATCTTTTTATATAGCAAATCACTCTGATTCTTCTTCAATTTCTTTACAGTTTGAACGAAGGTTAATCTCTTTGGAGATAAAATTGGAATTTTTAAATTAAATACTTTTGCCTACACTGACCCCCTCCCTTACCCCTAAACGGGGAGGGGCAGTGTCTATGTACCCAAAATGTGGACAGATATTTCCTCCCCGTGTACTGGCAGCTACAGCATGGACCTTTAAGGGACAATACAATAGCACAAGTTCAGTCAAAGATTATTAGAAGTGGCCATTGTGCAGCTGAGAGTTCAATGGCCAGCAGAGAGTGACCAAGGGCAACAGAACCCTGCAGTGTGGTGGCAAATGTCCAGTGGTATCAAGGCCAGCAATGGCATCGTATGCAGATTGGTCTTGGTGGCAGGATCTTGGCCATGCACCAGCTTCCTTTATTCCGGTTCAAGCCTGATTCTTCAGGCTTCTTTTGATACTGTGGGGTGTCTATATACCTGCAAAAACATTTTTTTTGTGTGTAAGTCAATTACAGTTGACTTGTGTTTGCAATTACGAACTCTGACTGACATATAATTTTAATTTTATCCTGCATCCTATTTTTCAAAAGGTCCATTTCAGCTCATGGAGTCTGAGGCACCATGAGAAATAGGGATACAGGAATTTGGAAATGGAGGAGTCTACTTAAGACTCCTTCAAGTCACACACTCTGGACCTGCACTGCCCAATAGCCACATGCCACATGGTGTGATTCAAATCCAAATCAAATAAAATAAATAATTCAGTTCCTTAGTTTCAGTAGCCACATTTCAAATGCTCAGTAGCCACATGTGGCTAGTGGTACTGTATTGGACAGTGCAGATCTCAAACATTTCCCTCATGACAGGAAGTTTCATTGGACAGAATTGATGAGACATTTGATCTCATCTGAATATTCATAAGGCAGGCTTTATATTTGTAAGTGTAA